TGTAGGGAAGTGTAGGAAGTGTAGGAAGAAGTGTAGCTAGGATCTGCTTTACAGTACTGTGAATACCCTTCTTAAAAGAAAACAGGATTTTAGAAAGAGAAATGGCTTTTCTTGAAGGAGTAAAGCTGTTCTTTAGCACAGAGGAGAGGAGACCAGGTACTTTTTTTGGGGATGGGGGGAGCCAAATATAGTCAAAATAGTAAATTTTTCATTCATCTGTATATTTTTTTAATATGTGTAATGCTGTCTTGTTCTAGTTCTTAGCTGTGTAGGATGCTGGTTTTCGTTTTAAGAACTTTTTGCTTTTTAGTTGCTGTGCTCTGCACAGTCCTAAAAGATGTAGAAACAAAGATTGTATTTTGATGTTTTAAAAGAGTATTGTATCAAACAAATAATTTTGAAAGAGGATTTTTTTAAAGTGTCTTTTTTCCCAGGACAATTGTCTGAAAGACATTTTACTTTCAAAGTGGGTGTCTTCAAATGGCAAGTATGTGCTGTAGGTTGTTATTAATTAATATTTTTAACTAGAAACCATATTCTGAAAAACTGAGGTCTTAAAATTGTATCCTGCTTATTATGAAAACGAAGATCTAAAAAACCTAACATTCTACTAGTATATTCATGAGTCCATTCTCCAGGAAAAATTTCAGATGTACACTTTTTTACATAATCTGTATTTGCTCTTAAATAAAGAGTAATACTTTATAAAAATGCAAGTCTTGCCATTTTCCTGGATCTTCTTGAACAGTCTGATGCATTTGATTGGACTCTGTATCTGAAATAAATTACTATATTCTTATGAACAAGCTTTCCTATTACAGAGAATCTACTGTGTAAACAAAAGATTTTAAGGCCAAGTGTGTGGATAGCATCTGCATTTTCTTGCCAGATTTGCTTTAATTTGGTTTCCACCTTTGTTTTAAATATAAAAGTTCCAGTGTCCTTATGACACCTTAAGGTTCTGTTCATCTTTACATTGAAGACACAACATCATTTGTTACTGTAAGTCTGCTAATAATGCTCATTTTTTAAAAAATGGTAAAACTTTACAGAAATGTTTTAGCCATATGCAGCATCATGTTCTTTAGTAGCCTTGAATGTTTCTTGTTCTCTTATAAAGTATCGAAATAGGGTAGTCTTTTTTTTCCCTTAGCGTATTCTTTAATGACGCTTCTTTGTTTTTTAATCAGCAAAAGAAAAATGGAAAGCAATTGAGCAAGACTCTGGTACACAGACTGTGAAGAAACCTAAGAAAAATAAAAACAAATCAGAAGATTCCAAGGAAAAGGAAGCTCACTACTCTGAACCTCTTACAGTTACTACTTTAGGTGGGACTCAAAGCAAGAGCTTTCTGTGCCGTCCTGTAACAGAAGAGTCGGATGTGCAGTATAAAAAAAGGAAACCCAGAACTGATCAAATCGAGTGCTTTCAAAGTTTTAGTGTAACTTCAGCTGAAAAAGTAAGAAATGCATCTGCAAAGTGTGATGCTGAACATTGCAGAAACGCCCTAAACCATTGTAATGGCTTGCTCTGTGCAACAGAAAAGAATCCATTTGTGAGATTAGAGGCCTGTAGTTACATCAATACATTTGTGAAGTCTTCAGATAGTGGAACTACCAGCAGTTACAAATTAAGTGGATTCTTCCATGTAGCCCAGGATAAAAGAAAGCATGTTTTTCCTGATGATGCTGTAGAACAGAGTGATATGAACTGCAGCAGTAGTAGAATACAAAATGAGAGATCAGACATTAAAAGTGGTCTATTGTTTAATAAAGAAGAAGCTCAAAGCAGAGAAGAGTGCTTTTTGTGCTATCAGAGTGAAAACAGTAAGTGTTTAAGGGGGAAAAAGTGGAATATTGGTAGAAAGCCTAGAAAAAAAATGAAAATCACTGAGAAATTGGCAGCGCAGAATATTTTCACAGACATCGCTAATGGAAGCCGTGAGTGTGAGTTAGAAACTGAAGCGTCCATTGCCATGTCAAGCTCCACTGCAGCCTTGGGACTAAATGGTAAAGAAATTGCTCTGTCAGCTTCATGTGGTCATACATCAGATCTTCATACAGGAAAAAATACTCGTGTAGCAAAAAATATATCAGACTGGAGAAAGAATAGTACCAAATCACTTGCATTTGAAGATGGCTTTAAGAAGACATCTGAGCTTTCTGTAATAGGAAAGGGAGAAAAATCAAAGAGTGTGGCACACCATTCTGCTGCCTCAGGTAGCCTGAGAGTGCTAGCTCAGGTCCACAATGTTTCTAACTGTCACAAAAGCAAGACAGGTGAAAAATTGAACAAAGTCAATAAGAAATTGCAGCAGTTTACCTGTCAAAGAACAGTACCTATGACTGGTAAAAACGCTTGGCCTTTTGAATCTTGTGCCAGGACTTCTGAATGGGTTTGTAAAAATCGTGAATCTGTCTTGGAAGGAAAAAGACGTTTAAGGGCTGCCTTTGAGAAATCCTCTGATAAAAGCAGTGTTAAAGCCGTGGGGAACAGTGCTGTGACTGGGAATTTGAGACAGCTGGATTTGCTTATGTCATCTGCAGAACATAACAAAGAATCTACAGATAAAATAATGGATCCAAATACTGAATATCTGAGTTCACTTGAAACACCAGAATCCTCTTCTGTGGATATTTATGAGACTTTGAGAATGAGCAATGAAAATGTGGAATCATCAGTTAGTATGGATAGAAGCACTATGGCTTTTAACCATGATGATGTGCAAGAAGTTAAAGCAACCTTCAATTCTACCACTAAACAAAAAGATAAAAGAGTTGTAAGAAAAAGAAAACCATCTGTGACGTCTGCAGGTAACAAAACTAGAAGAAACATCAGATGTAAAGCATCAGTAGAGAACCAGACATTTTCTGGTCAAAAGCTAATGGAAGTGGTGAAGGCTGGAAACCTGACAAAATTCAAAATTCCTTTATGCAGAGACAAACCTGAACCCAGGAAATGGGAATCTGGCTGTTCATCTGAAAGAAAGACCTGTGATCTACTGGAGCTTCTTGACAGCACTGGTGTTTCAGGAAGTCAGAAGATGGGTGAAGAGACTTCCTTGGTAAATTCTGAGCAGCAGCCTCTTCCTATCGTGAGTGATGCTATGTCTGCAGCTTCCATGAAGAAAAAAGCAGATGAGATCAACAGTAAGGAGTTCCAGCTTGATGAGTCTGAAAACCTTTCAAATGAGGTGTCTGCACTCCCTGAAGATTCTTTTTTATATCCAAGTCCATCTCCTGATGGACATCTGGAGTCATCTGTGCCTGATTTCCGTGGTACTGAATGTGTACCAGAATCTGATTTTCCTGACTCTTCTTGGAATGCAATTGACCACCCTGTTGCATTAGAAATAAATGATGATAGCAAATCAAGAGGGAATCTTTCACAACACAAAAGTCAAAATTTTCCAGATATTCTTGAAGCTTACAAAGAAGATATTCTTGTCATTGATGTGATTCAGGATGACCCTGACCTTTTTGGAACCAGTACTGAAGAGGAGCATGCACTTGCAGTCTGTGAAGATTGTCCCGTGAAGGCGCCCTATAGTAGCATCTGCATTAAAAGTGAAAAGGAGGATCCTGTTATCTCAGAAAATAGAGATTTAGTAGGTGATAATTTTAGGTATGCATATAATTCTTTCTATTACAGTAATCCTAAGTACTTTGTTCTCCTATCGGTATACCTTGTTTGTAGTGGTCAGGCTTCCTTACAGAATTTCACTAATTTCCAGGTTGGTTTTAAGTTAAAAAATTTGATTGAGGTAAGATAGTATTCTGAATGCAGATTGATTAATTTGTTCTTCATAAGAACTAGGATAAACTCTGAATTGAAGGAAAATGTAGTCCTAAAGAATTGGTTTGGACTGAGTAAAGTGAAATAGGAAAGTATAAACAAAGCTAATTGCGAGTAGTAGTATTAATAAATAACATTTTTAAATATCAGACTTTATTTGAGATAGCAAGTATCCCTTTGAGGGTAGTTTTGTAGTTGTAAAGTAGTATAATACTTAGAAGTATTTTTTACTTTCTAGGCGTACCTTATTCTGTTGCTGGTTCCATATGAGTAAATGGTTGACTCTGCAGTAATATTCCATTTTGCCATTCT